GACGATATACATATTATCTAAAGCCGGACCTTGATATCACGATGAACAATGCAGCCTTCTAAATATGTGTGAAGAAACCAAAGACCTCGGGCACTACCAATTGCAATCTCAAGCCTTTGGATCCAGGAAAGTACCTTATCCTTGCCTGTTGTCCACGATGTTCGATTCATTATCTTTGAATCATGACATAAATAATTTGAAATAATGTAATCTTAAGATAGAGGAATACCAAAAAGCCACTCTGCTAGATTTCCATTGGGGCATAGCTCATATATGAGGAAGCACTCTTCTCCACTTAGGCAGTAACCAAGCAAAGTCACGAGGTTCGGGTGTTTGATGTGAGATACGCTAGTAACTTCCCTCACAAAAGTCTCAACATTTCCATCATTTATGATGTGTTTTAGTGCAACTGGCTGTTGATTTGACAATTTGCCTTTATACACCTTTCCTGACATGGTAAAAAATATTTACCTTGAGTTAAAATCCAGAACACCATCAGATGATGCAAATACGAGAAAGTCAGCAGTTCTAAAATGAAATCCTAAGGAATATCTGCTATGCTTGATTATTTGTAAACAAACAAACAAACAAACAAACAAATATACATATATATATATATATGTATACATATATGAGTATGACTATGTGCTGAAATTTGCAAAACTTTTGGCTTATATGAGCAAACATTTTTCGTATGATCTACAAGAAAAAGTTTGTCTCAGTCTGTCAAACCGGCACCATGGTTCCAATTGAGATGAACTGTCTCAGAAAAGACAGCAAAGTTGGAAATAATAACTTGGAGCACTGAAGTTGGAACAGCCACAGCAAGGTAAATAAAATTCAATAAATTATGTGCAAAGAGCATCAAACATGAGTATACCATTGCTGGAAATGGAAGGTTCTGCAATGGACGATAACTGGTAATAAGTAATAACTAAGGATACCCAAGCTCAAATGCTATATATTCTGGTCAATTTGGCGCTTTGGTAACAAGATCTATTGTAGATTGCGGATTTGGTTAAGATCCATTTAGCATGGTGGTTTAAAGCAACAACGACTCAAGTTACTTTCAAATTTGATGACTTTGTTACTAAATCCTATTGGTGCTTATTCTGAGTTAAGCTCCATAAAGAAAAAAATAAATAAACAGGCCATTTAGTCCCCTCCACCTTTGCAGTTTCATACTCAACATGGATGACCCTGCATTGGGGGAAACCTGACCCAACTATTATTGGTGGGGTACTATGTGATCATCAAGTTAAAAATCCATTAGTAGTGCAGACTCTAACCATGCTGAGTTTCTTGTCACTCCAAGTGCTTATTATGTATGTAGCATCTACTCATGCCCTCTGATCATTGAAAGTGATTACTTAAATATGGTTCTTAGGACAACAATTGTTTTACCGTCCCAACTTCAAAAATTCTCAAATTATGTTGCTTTATTAAATGATACATATTGTTAAAGTTGATATCCTTAATATATCTAGAGAGTGGAACTCAATGGTGGATGGACCTAAGGCTAGATTGAAGCGAACTGAGAATTTGGTATCTTGGATTTGATTCTAGAATGGTATTTCCTTGGAGGTTGGTTCTTGTTTCGTTAACTGTGAAGCAACGAAGCTGATTTTGAAAGATGAAGCTGGCTGCTTGTTGGGGGATGGCAAATGCAAACAATTTGTGCTTTAATGAGTCTAAAGGTGACAGACAGACCGAATATCTCTATCTCTTCAATTTCACTGGAAGCCTTTTGTGCTTTTGTTGAGGTTGTGGGTTGTTTTCTTGTTATCTGATTGTTTTAGCCTCATTGTCTTAAATCAATTAACCTTTGGAAACTGAATCTCTGTGCACATTATTCAATAGTCTTTCTTGAGATGGGAATAAAACACTCCAGCTGCATAATTGATATACTTACCAGCAGTTCCTTCACCAATGAAATTTGATTCATCTAGACTGTTTGTAGCAGAATACACCTCCTTGATCCGAAATTTGGGACAACCTGACTTCTTCAATAAAACATCCTTAGATGCTACAAAATGAACAAATGGAATTAGTATAAAGATGTGCATCCTGCCTGTATTAATGCAAAACTTAAGGCCTCACAGAGATGAAATGATGTTGTTGGAACGTACCATGTTTTTTGGATGATAATTTTGATGGACGACGTCTTTTGGACAAGACGTACAATATAATAACTATTATCACAAGAAACGCAACAAGGCTTCCGATCAGAACCCCAATACCTGCGATAATGTAGAATTCCCAATATGTACATAGCATTGCATCTTCAGATTCTAGAATTGTGTTCATACAATAACACATGGAGAATTACCTGTCTTAAATTTTATCTTCTTTTTGTCTTCTGGTGTTGATTCTTTAGTATTCTCTGTCAAGAACAAAGGAATTTGTGAGAAATCATTCTATTGAAAGTAGAAGTTTTCATTTTATATTGACTCTGATGAGATCATGTGTTACCAGCATAAGAACTAGTTCTCCTTGAAAGGCATTCATAAATTCTTTCAATATTCTCATCTCCAATCTTGCTACTGGCTAATGAAACCAGCACTGCAAACCTACAGATCATGGACTCTGCATCTGTCGATTTGGACTGTGTTCCTCATATGTCTTTCCAGCTTCTAACACAAGAATCACAAGATTCGTCAAACCCATCAGAGCTAAAAAATTTGCACTTTGCACTAAAACTTCTCAATTCAGCTCCCAGTTTGTTAGCAACATCAGCTACGGAGTAATCAGAACATCCACCTGCACCTCTTGTTAGCTTCTCAGTCCCACAAATAAAAACATCTCCTTCAAATCTTTCATTGAAGCCAAACAACTTGTCTGCTCACTATAACTTAGGAATATCAGCCCTGTTTTGTTTGCCCTCTTCCCCAGCGCATGGAGGTAGCCAGGGAATGCTGCTCCACAAGAGTTTTTGTTAAGAAATCCACCCCAATCACCCCCTTCACAGCTTGAACTTGAGGATGCTGTAGACTCAAACTCAAGGCTGCACTTTGTTGTGGAAGGCTGGGAAACTGTAACTTGGGCAGTGGTGATCAAGACGAAGATGCAGACAATAGGAACTGGTTTTGAGTACTTGTTCCAGTGCCAGTTGCACATATACATTGTGAAATTGCACGTCACGTCTAGTATATCAAGAATATCAACAGGAGTCTTGGCAACAAGTCGATTTGGGGAGATGAGAGTTCACCTGTCACAATGTTAGGAAGAACGCAACTAAGAAGTGGATAATTAGAGAGCACTTGGCATGGTAGAAAATTGTCTATGATGACTTCTTCAACCCTCTGTTAGTAAAGAGTGCGACAAGTACGCAGTGGGATTGGAACCTTAACGCACGGCAAGTAGGATTCTGGAACTTTGACATTTTCTGGTTCAACATTCATTGACATGAAAGAAGAGATGGCTGCACAAAGAAACAACAATGAACACATATAGCCAGACAGACTGAAGAAAAGGGATAAAAAGATTGGTCATATTACAGCATGGAATGTAATTTTCTACCCCTCATCAGAACTCTATGTCTCTGGCATTTGGTTTCAGCTGTTTCAAGAACAATACCTGGATTCTTGGTATCGTTTTTTACTAATTTCAATCAGAAAAGGCTCACATAAATAAACTAATAGCATTGTTTTACCTTCCATTTTCAGAAAGTGTGGATGCCGGCTTAGGCACTAACTTTTATGCTGAAAGCTCCATTTACAGACATTTTTCCAAAGCAGAAGACAGAACTAGCCTGAGAAATGACAGCCTCCTTACAACAGTTAATGACGGTTTTACACATTTACTTGAGGTCAAACAAAATGCTAGCAAGACATTCCAAGGAATAATAGTTTGAATTCGAAACCATGATTCTTGTCCAGAAACACCCTATGCCAAGATTTGTACCCTATCCATGATTGTGGCATAATTTAGTAATGAAAAATTCTGACATACACATCAACAATGCCTGACGTAGGTGATCCAGATCTGATTCAAATTCAGTTTTATCTTTACTCTCATTGGGGTTGACTATTATTCTTTGGGGTAACTTTTGAAGGTGGAACCACCTTTGCCAAACCCTAATTACATGATTATTAAGTTATATTACCTAACTTTTGTACAATTTGAGTTTGAACTTCAGATATCGGAGAACCCTACACCATATAATCAGTTACCAGTTGAGTCAAAGCTTACAATACTGTAGAACAACAGTACAGTTGTTGCTGCAATTCATGGAAGCTACGACTGAATTATGGGCACGAGGCCATGATTATCGGAGCCAACCAAGTAACTTAGATGTTGTCTTTATCATTTATCCAAAAAAAGATGTGGATTTTATCTTCATAAAGCATTATTCTTTAGTTAGATCCTTCTACATTGTCAGCTTCTTTCTCTATGCTTGCTATTGTCAATTTGTCATGACCTCTCAGTGTAAAGCATAGTTTGACTGTTATAATAAAATGTTAAAAGAAAAAATAATAATAACTAGGGACCCCCCAACCCTTGTATCAATTCGAAGCCATGGCCACAAGAAGAATCCCTAGTACAAACCAAGAAGGCAAGAACCGTCTTCCATCGGCTGCCTTGTAACTCACTTATTCATCTTAACGCTTCTTGTGTACTTCTATTCTACCATTCATTTTGACCTTAGATGAGTTTACTTATTATAATATTCATGCAAATGGAGACATTTGTCATTCATCCAGATGAAAGATTGAACCTCACAAAGCTTTCAATCAGTCCAACCATATGATGGCAACAACCTTCCTTTCCCTCTGTAAGCCCCAATGCCTCTCTCACTTTCTTTTCCTTAAGCCTTTCAATCATTTCTATGCTCTTGCTAATTTGATTGGCAAAGCAGTTTCAGTGCAAACTATATATATGAACCTATAGCAGGTCTGCAAGAGAGAAAAATGTACAAAAACAGCCTGAGAACACAAAATTTACAAGAAATGATCTCGTAAATGGAGTGCCTAGATTAACACTTGAATTACAATCCTAGAATATCAAAAAGAAATGCATTAATGCCCATGGAAAACTTCCATGAAAACGCTGAAACACAAAAAGAAAGTTTGAAAGAAAGTTTGCTAGGAATAGGGCTCTCAAGTACTGTCATGTGGGACTCTTTCCAAGCCTTGCAAGGCATCGAGATGGGAAACAAATTACTTAGAGATATCTTACTTATTGTTGCAGAACTCATTAATGAGCATGTCTAACGTCCGCCAAGATGATCCAGTATTCTCCTCCATGGCCATCTTGGCCAACTCAGCAAGTTCTTTCACCTTAATCCTCACCTCTTTCCCCATCTCTCCTTCCATCAACGCCCTTACCATCTTCATTACTCCTTCCCATTTCACCAAACCTTTCACTGTCCCGTCACAAGTCTCCACTCTTAACCCCACCTTTATTTCCTCTACTACCATTCTTGCATTCAATGGCTGCTCAGCCATCATTGGCCATGCAAGAATTGGTACCTCTGCACATATGCTTTCCAACACTGAATTCCATCCACAGTGACTCAAAAAACCTTGTACGCTTTGGTGCATCAATATCTCTCTCTGATCAACCCATTCTCTCACCACAATACCTGTCTCTTTAACCCTTGCTTCAAACCCTTCTCCGAATTCTGATTCTTTCTTCCTTATAACCCACAAGAAGTTCACCTTTGATTCTTCCAGCCCAGTTGCTATTCGTTTGAGTTGTTCTGATGAGATATCTGCCTGAGACCCGAATGCTACATACAAAACTGAGCATCCCTCATCTAGCTTTTGATCTAGCCACTTGATCCAAGAGGGTTTCTTCTGGGGTTCATGTTCTACCTTGGGCAGTTCAGCCAGACACAAGGGTCCAACACTCCATGCCTTGAGCCTTTCCTCACGGTTCCAACTACCAAAAAAAAAAATTTTCCAGCTCATAGAAGCTATTAACAAGCTTTCCTTTACTGTTTACTGTTGCTACCACTTGATCCATGAATAACCGCATTGGAGGACTATATGGATCAGGTTTTGAGAATATTGGTTCAAAGTCATTTCTAGTAATCCTAATCCATGGAAACTGTGTGACTGTGATCAACTCATCATCTGACTCAGGCCCAAACAAAAGCCTGTCTACAGCGACAGCTTTAGACACGGTTGAAGCATACTGGCTCATGCCATAGAACATCAACCTTGGCACACCAAACTTTGTTGCAGCCTCTAGAGTCCACTAAAGGAACCCATCTGATACAACGAAATTCACAGGAAGCAGACGCTGGAGCTTCCTTTCAAACTCATGTTGCATGAGCTTTGTGGCTGCACAGAATGGAACAAAGAGTGAAATGGAAGGTAGTGCATCTGTGCTTTCAACGCCAGCTGGAATTTCAGGGATGTTTTCAGGGTAATTGATGTCAATGATAGAGGCAGAAGTGTCAGCAAGAGACTTAGCAATGAAGGGACGGTTTCCTGGCGTGGTAAAGACTGTGACGGCTAGGCCACGACGGAGTAGGAGGCAAGCTAGGTGCAGAATGGGTATAATGTGACCTTTTGACATGAAAGGACAGAGAACTGCATGATGTGATGAACCATTAGAAGAAATTGTATCCATAATTCCTTTCCCTATTCCTTTTGGTGTTTTTGGTTCTTCAGAGTTTCTACTCTATTACTCTCTTTCTAGTTCTACCCTCTATTGGCAAAATGGATCTGGGGTTAGCAGTGCAATACTGATGCAAGTCTTGTAACAGAGAATTCTTAACTTAGTGCAGCTAAAATTGTCTCTGTCAAGTACTTCTTGGATTGATTGCAGCTACTTCCACTTTAAAAGTTTTTCTTACTTTTTACCATTTTTAGGTGGAAAATGAACGAAAATGAGACAGGAATAGCACCTGATACTACGGCTGAGGATGCTGGGAATATTCCAAATCTTCCAAGTTTGTGGCAAAGACTTAAGAATGCAACAGTATTTATTTCCAAGCTCCCAAAATTAATTAAGTCTTGGACCCAGAGAGGAAGAAATTAAACTGAAGAAGCTTGGAATGGTAAAGTCAATAAGGCTCATGCTATCATTCAGAAATTTTTTTGTTTTTTCTAATTGAGGAAAGGGTACTGAATCTTGCTCTTTGAGGCTCGCAGGTGTCATTCACTCATTGAAATTATAGCTATCAAAAATGGAAAATTACATATATAAGGTGCCAGGCTGCTAGCAGTGACTTGTCAATTCGGTTTTTCGTTGTGATATCTCAGTATTCCTTTCTGTGATGCAAAGGCTCACTAGTCACTATCACCACCCAATTGCCACTGCCACCGATACTGGTAAGCTCTGGTATCGTGCAACATGTTGCGTATACGCATCAGACATTGCAGTATACAGGAGCAAAGAAACTATGGCTCCTGGTCTAGTAATTAAAACAAGGCATTTATTCTTGGAAGATTAAGTTTATTGTCAGCCTTCGCCAGACTCACGTTCATTCGTGGCATTCATTGTGAGGCTAGCATGGAGGAGAGAGTGGCACTTTCTAAAAAGATTTAATTTTTATAATATTCATTTGTAGTTAAGGTAATTAATATATAAATAAATTTATTTTTTTATAACTTTATAAGAAGTGGGATCAATAATTTCATATAAAAGTGATTTATAAAAATATAATTTATATATTAATAATTAAATATTATATTAAAAAGTAAAAAATATATAATTTAAAATTTTGTTTAAAATATTAAAACTCAAACTACTTCCCCTATCCAAAAACTCAGGTTTTTTTCTTTTTTTCAATCATTGGTTGTAATTTTTCACTTTCTTAAAACAATCTATTTAGATTTCAATAATAAGTAACTTTTAATTAAAATTAATTTTTTAAATATTCTATATCTAAATTTTTTTATTAATTTGATAGTTTGAGTTCATAATTATAATTTAGTTAATGAAAATAGTATTACATGTTAAATAATATATTTAAATTATAATTTTTTTATTTATTTTGTAGATATATTATTTAATTTTTATATTTAATTTTATGTGGTTTGTAAATGTTTATATTTAAGTTTGATTAATGAATAAAACATTATCATATTGTTAGTTGTTGAATTTGAAAATTTGATATAGAAGATCGTATTTTATTTAATTCTAATATCTTAATTTATACTAATAAGTAGTAATTTTAGATGAATGATTGCTTTGTGACATTTATTGAAAAAAATGTATTAGATAATATTTATACTGATAATATCATGCATCATTTTTAAAATATTTTAATTTTAAATATTAAATGAATGTACAGAATTTATATTTTTTTAATTTAATATTAAAATTTTGATTTATAAATTTTAATATATTTTAATTTTGTAAAATACATTTATATTTTTTTAATTATTATTATAATTATTTTAATTATGACAATACTAAAAAAACATTATGAGTTCGCATATGGAGGATGATAACCCACAATGATTCTTCGCAGACAAGTCCCCTTCACTGCAGATTGGTAGCAGTACAACAACATATGTACATGGTTCGGTTCTAAATATTTTTGTAATAAAAAAATAATGAATAAATTCAAGAACCAACCTTAAAAATAAGATGGTCCTGGTCTACATCTATAAATGAGATGGACCAAACCAGACTAATTATTAGTATGAAAATTGAATGGCTATGGAACTTGCCGTGAGAGTTTTCCCCCCTTGTGAGATCATATAGAGACAAATCAACGTTGGGAACAAGATCAAGATACAGACAAGAATCTTCTGCTCACCAAGAAGACCAACGACCAGAAGCTCAACCAAGCCTGGCAGAAGCAGGTTGCGCTTGTGAGCCTTCATGGGCCACTCGACCCACTTCCTTATAGAAATGGAAGCAAATGCTTGGGCTGGGCTGCTTGATTGGTTTGCCAAAATATAAATGAAAGCTGAGGGAAAAACAAATATAAGTAAACAAGTTAAATTTTTATAATCATTTAGCAAACATTTTATAAAATTTACAGCATTTTGGAAACAGAAAGCATATTATAAGGTAATATTAGTAGTTTCTAGTGCAAAACTCAAATGAGTCCCAACTAGATTTGTTTGGTTTTCTCTAGATTCATCACCACTATCAGTAACATTACTACCTTCCCTCATTTGGTTGTCTCTAACTTCAATTCTAACATCATTTGTTTGGTTGTCTCTACCTTCCCTACTCTGGCTTCCTCTCATCTGACCAACATATTCACTGGACTGACTACTTTCCTCATATAAAACCAACCCAGCCTCGCCTGAATCAGCACTGGCTCTACAAATTGGGCAAATGGGGTTCCTCAGAAGCCATGAATCTGCACAGTCTGCATGGAAACTATGCCCGCATAGAGGCAGTAGCCTGCACTTTTCACCCATCTTGAAGTTTTCCAAGCAGACAGCACAATCCGCTGGACTACTTCCTCCGTCTTTTGCTATGTAATCATAGCAGGGAAGCTTCTGTAAATCATCCTGGGAGATGCATCTGTTCCTGCTGTTGCTCCTGTCAAATCTTCCAGGGTTCCGGAATCCTCTCCTGAAGGCTCTTCCTACTATACATACATGTATAACCACCAGCATTCCAACACCTAGAAATAGAAGAATCACAGCTATGAATATGGCCATTAACATAATCTGTACTGTAGCCTGCAGAAAGTTAGTGCTCATCACGATCCTTCCTGAATCCCCTTGATTTCCATCCCACAAGGGCATGGCAGAAGTTACCACTTACATGTTCATAGCATAAGAAAATTCGGTCTTTTGCATACCTCAGAAGATAAAAACAACCTGAAAAATGACAGAAATGACAGAAGAATGATAAGGTTTCTGTTCCAAGGGAATGGAAATTTTGGTCTGATTGAAGTTACTGACAACAAGCTGATCAGGTAGTTTTCTGTTTTTATAGAGACAAAAAAATGTTCAAGCCAATGAAAGCAGGTGAACTGTTTCAGTGTGGCAAGAATAAAAAGATTAATCCATTATTTAATGGGACTAGTTAATTTTCCGTGATGGAGTGGGTGGAAAAAAGAACCCAAGACTTACAGGTGGAGACAAAATGATAGGGAGATTGATGATTTCAAACTTTTCTTCTTTGTCTTTTTTCTTTCATTGTATTCTTTTCCTTCTTTTTTCTGACAAATTAGGCGCCCTCCAAGCGAAGAGACAACTCTGCTCTTAATTTGCAGCCACACTTTTGCTCGGTTTGTTTGTCCGTATTGACCACCCCAATCCATTTACATCAGAGTCAGGCAGGCTTCACTAGGAAGATGCCCCATAATTCAGAAAGCACAAATGTTCTGCCCAACTAACAAGCCAGTTTGAGTCTGTCCTGTCTTAGTGGCATCTTTTTGGGTTCCCAAGTCGATGGACCTGCTTTCATGTCCAAACAAAATGGATTACTTCCAAACACCAAAACAGGCCGGTAGGATTACTTCCAATAGGTAAATTATTGCTCATTACAGAGATGTAGTAATTGCTTCTCCAATCAAATAGACCGCTGACATTAATCCCCAAGTTCAAGTTGGCTGGTCACCAACCAGGCTGGAGCCTGGACTGTTCACTGACAGCTCATCTTACTGATTGAGAAAACTACTTTCATATAACAACACAAACAATAATAGAATGAAACCCAAATTAACCATATCTTAACCTCCATACCAAATTAACCGAGACATTATTAGAAAATTTGATAAAATGGGTATTAAAATCTAGGCCAGAAAATTTAGTATATAGGTTGTTTTGTCTCCAGGATTGAAGGGAATGTTCAAGTACAAAAGAACAAAAAATGCAAAATCTGATCGGATATTATGACATGGAATCTACAATGAGAGAGAAGAAAACACGTTTGGTTTCACATCCAAGTTATATAAAAGGGATGATCTGTTGCTTTGATTAATGCCTTACAATATAAAAATCCTATTCCCCAATCTTCCAGCTATGGCATGCCCACAAGCCAGAGCCAAGTAGATGAGAAATTGACAAGAGGCCAATAAACATGGCTTTTTCATTGAAACCTGTAAGTCAATTAACAACTGCTACATTAGCTGCAAATAGGTGACAATTAATTTTAAAAAAATTACAAAAGATTTTAACATTTGATTAAGACATCTAAGCTAGAATCCAACTCTTAGATGAGCACTCAATAATTGACATCATTGCTTCTTTTAGATCTGCAAGTGCAATCATAAGTCTATCATGGTATATTATTATGTAACATTTCTGGAAGAACATTCTGGCCATGAGATTAGAGCAAAAAAGTAGAGAAATTATACAATTTTTGCAACCCATGCCATAAATGAGGAAGACTGAGAGGTGAACCATATGCAAAGAATATCATTGTACGATTTTCAATCCAACTAATTTCTTAACCAAGATCACAGACATCTCAATGATTCAAGAGAATTTACAAGGAAAGAGATAATAAACCAAAACCAAAGCAATGAAAGGTGACTGTGGACTCTGCTCACTAAAGCTCATATATGTGGGTAAAATAAAAATGACATTACTTGCTACAATACAAGCTTATATATGGTCTATATAAAACTCACTGTCAGGAACCAATGACAAGACCTTCCCGAGCAATGTTTGTGACACGAAGCACCGCTTGTGCACTTAAAGGAGACAGTTTTGACTGACAAAAATTCTCCCAAGAGCCCATCTCTGGATGCTCAGATACCGTTGTTGTAAGGTCATGGGATTTCAAATATACAGTTTGCAGCTCCAAAAGAAGGGTTCGAGCAGCCTCCCGGGACTCTGGGAGCTGGTCACTGAGCTGGGATGCAGCTACTTGGATCAATTTGTCGATTCCATATTCTTTTATTCCTTCAACACCCTATCAAAATCAAAACAACTGCATCAACTTATTTGAAAAGTGAAGGAAAAATATTTACCAGCCAAGAAGAAAAAGCAATATATTTGACACAAACCTTACAACATGGTGCATATGCTCATGGAAATAAGTAAACAAAGAGGGAAACAGAGGTTGATTTGCCAAATAATACTAGGCATACACAATAAAGTGAATAAGAAGAACAACCAAAAGCTTTGCAAACCATTTACGATAAAATATCCACATATAGCTACACTAACTACTTAAAATGAATTTAGTTTGTTGAAAATTATATGTTTTATGTAGCTGCAAATAACCAGGGTACCATCCACATCAATGAAACAAATTTATGATTCAGACCAGAAAACCAAACCCCCTTTCCAAACAAATAAAATACAGTATGCTTATCAAGTATCCTTTGCCTACCAGTCGTGGAACACTACGACAAAAGCACATAGATGCCTTAGCTCGAATTCGAGGATTTCTGTTCTTAAGATAGGGTTGCAACTTGGGCAACAATGACATAGGGGAAACTGAAGTAGTCATTGCCTCCAAAGCTCTCTCAGCTGCCTCACATACAAATCTTTTATCTTGAGAAGACTTAAGAAGAAGCTGTACAAGCTGTATCATTCATATTTGAACACATATGAAAAGCCAGCATTAGTTCACTTGTATCCCAAGATGAAGAATCATTCACAAAAGAGAAAAATAATAAAGATGGCAGTGTACCATCCAAAATGCACACAAGCACCCAGACTAACGTGGCAGTAAATCGTAGAGAATGTGAAAGTACCAGGGGATCCAAAGAATCAATCAAATCATCATTATATGCACTGAAAATGTCTGCAGATGTCATAATTGCAGTTTTACAAACAGCACTTCTTGGATTCTTCAAGGACTTAACAACAAGAGGGATCACATCACCCCTGTACATTGGAACGGGGAAGGAAATACACTAGTCAAATTAAATTCAAGAGAAAAGTAACTGAGAGAAAAATTAGATTAAAACCCTATCCGCTAGTCTTTACAGTCAGAAAATCATGTAAGAATTCATGACTTACAGCATCGTATGCATTACTTCCTTATGAAATATTGATAATCGGCGAACACTATTGAGTGCTTCAACAACCAGAACCCAATCTTTAGAGTTGAGTCCAGGTAAGAGCTTCTGATATAGGTAAATAGGCATGTTATCAAACAGTAGAACACCAAATATTAGAACATGAAGTGTAAGCGTAAGGAGAAGGAAAACAGAAAATTATACCTCAAGACATGTATCAACATCTTCTAGATCACTCAAGTTCTCAGATTCAATGTATTCTACTTCAGAATTAGCTACCTCTGCTTCAGCATTTACAGTTTCACCTCCATTTATATGAACAGAGGCAGGGCTTTTCTTTTGCTGCTCTTCAACATTTTCAATTGTGTTCCCATTGCAAGGCTTCATAAAATTCCCTTTACTAGAGCTGTCATTCTTCCACTCAGACGTAGGTAAAGTATTGAGATCTCTTAAAGCATTCCCCGACATCATAGAAATTAAAGTCTGAAACCGAAAGAAACAAATAGATAAACATCAACATATTCTGCTATGACAGTGATCAACCATGCACAACCTTACAAACAAAATGACAGCGATATTAAATCAATTTTTTGGCTTAGAGAACTACATAAGATAGAAAAAAAAATGTAAAAGACCTGTTTTTTCTTAGTCAATGACTGCCCCATCATTGACTTCCAAATTAACACAGCAAAAAAAATACGATATTAAGCCAGGTACTCTAAAATGCTTATACAATAATCATAGTTTCAATGCTGGCATTTTTCATTATACAAATTTTATCAAATTTTTAACAAGTTCCTAGAATGCCTAATATCCGGCCTAGCTACCAACACTTTTAACCTGCATTTAACAAATTAAGCATTCAATGAGCCTGCGTACTGCCTACTTCTACTTCAAATTATACCTTTTTATACAGATTGAACACCAAATATTTGCCACAATTCGTGAATATTACACTAATTATTGAGTAAATTCAACCAAATATTAGCATCATTTCATCACAAACCAAAAAAATAAATAAATACACACTAAGAAAGTATTTAATTAGAACAAATTATACACAAATTTGCACCAAAATTCTCCACATTGCAAATATTAAAAAGAAAAAGAAATTAACCTACATAAATCTCCATTAACTTGATTAAACACAGATCAAAATCTACGGATTAGTACAATTTCTGAAATTTCCACAACAGAATAATATAAAAACAAGGAAAATAAAAATCAATGCAAACAGAGAGATCTAGACGTCGAAAATGTCATTAAAGAAAAAAACTTTAAAAATTAAAAAACGAATAAACAACAAGATCTCGCCGCGAAACGTGTCGTCGATCCTAAATTTTTCTTCGAAAAATAAAATTAACTAAACAAAAATCTAGAGAGAGAACGTATGTCTGTACCAGAGAGAGAAAGCAACGTGATCGGCGAATTCACTGACTTGCGTTAAGACTCACCAGTGAAAATGCAGAGACTCCTTTTTATATAAAAAAAATAGCAAGAAAATAAAAAACTGACTTAAACGACACCGGTTTACACTATTTTTGGGAGAAAATCCGACCGGGGCCGGCAGGCACGGGTTCATTGCATGTGAGACGGCCTTTCCCTCTCGCACGCGGTTGAAATTAATTTTGATTTTGTAAATTGCCTTGGTCTTTCTTTAAATAGCGAAAATGCCACTGTTTGATTGATTTTTTTTTTTATATAAATGTGTAGTACTTAATTCTTTTTTGAACTTGACGCTCCAACATTAGACAATGAAATATTGAAATGATGCTTCATCATTTGAAAAGGATTAGCCTCTTTTAATTTGGGATTAATTAAAAGAGGGAATGTATTTTGTTTTTAAAGTGACATGTCATTTGCATGCCTAATCAAGACATTGCCTTAAGCTTAACTTAAAAAGGCAAACATCAATTGAGTTTTCCCTCCTTTTTTTCTTTTCTCTTTCTATTGTGGATGATTATGAGTCAGAACCACTAATCTAATTTTGTTTAAATTTGGAACTAAATGAAAAGGTTGTTCTTCCTTTCCTTAACTTTTTATACATGCCTTAAACATAAAAAAATATAACAAAATATTACATAACTATTAAATTCATTGATGTACAATATGGTAAAAGTGTAATTCTCATTTCATATCGAATGTTAATGTAATTACTAAAATGTGTTTAAATCAATTATTATTAACAACTTAAACTTAAATTTAGATTTGAAAAGTTACTAAAATAATGATGTTTAGAATTAAATCGTTTCAATTATGAAATAATTATTGTTTAAATTTTACAAGCAAATAAGCATATTTTTAATGACTTTATAAACCCAATAATTTGGGTTGTTATTCTTTTGGAAAGATTAGATGATTAAGATTAAAAAAAAGTAAATATTTAAATATTTGATTCATTAATTAATATATAATTTTTTATTTAAATAATATATTTAAATTTTTTTAATTTAAAAAAAAATAAAGAAAATGACGATTGTACAAGGACTCACATGGGATGCTAGTGTCGGTGCAACAATACTTGGGCTGCTATTATTGAGGGGACACCAGGATTTCCATGGGCCTTGACCAAGCCATATGGTTCTGTACCATCTTTCAGATTATATATATATATATATATATATATATATATATATTTATATAATATTTGTTATTTGAGAAAGTTAATTTTTGAGATGTGTTTGGTTAGAGTGGGCAATCCAAGAGTCAAAACCGTGGACCATTCATATAAAGTCGATCCTTAAAATTACGTGTCACCAATTAGTTTATCTCTTTGTAAGATTAGTCTTTTAGAATTCCATGAGGTCTAAGTCAACCTTTAATTTTATAATTTTTTAAAATTAATAATTAAAGTAATAATATTTTATTCCTTATAAATGTATATTACCCTCAAATTGTGTATGGATAATCAAATCTATTAATTTATATAGTTTTGTTTGTATTTGGTATCAATGTTTAAGTAAATCTTTGAATTTACTGATTACCATCTTTAAAAATACTTTGAAATTGGTTTAAGTCTTATAATTTTAAATATTTAATTTATTTTTTATATGATATTCCAATGATCATTATTTTAAAATCGGTGTAAAACTCGAGCTTACGATTCAATCTTTTGATCTCAAACATACAAATAAGTATCAAAAATCATAAATCACTCTAAAAATATCAATTTTAAAAAATTTAGATAAAAAAAATTCGTTAAATCATAAGACTATCTTAAAATCAATCAAAACCCATCAATCTAAATTTATTTGTGAACGAAATCAAATAATTATTCATCAGATACGTTTTGCCACGATTTCTTACTGCATATAAATGGAAAGTTTATTTTAATTTTTTTCTTTTTTGTCATAAAATAATTATTTATTTTTTTCTTTTTTACTAAAAAATAAAAATTAATAAATCATTACACACAAAAGAGTCAATTATTGCATAAAATTGGTGGATCATCTTTTTTTTTTTTCTTGGTCCCATTCATTTATTTATTATTCTTTGCCAAGAGTTTTAGCATGCATTTTGGGTAATGATGACCATAGGCTTTAATGTGCTTTTTATCATAAGCCCACCTTCCTTTAGGAGAAAATAATGGAGGCAATATTGTCCAATCTCTTTTTTATTTTTTGGATAAGTGGTCACAATTTCATCTTATATTTAATATAAATAAATAAATTATCACAACATTCAATCCACCCCTATATATTGGAAATATCTCACTTTTAATTTGCATGTGTCACTTTTAGAAAAATCTTCATCATCTAATTACTCCATCCCTTTTGCTTGAAGCAATCTCTTAATAAAAAATGAAAATTTTGCTCCAACAAACTAATTAAAAGGTAGTCAATAATTCAATAATTTCTACTTGTTGTTTAGTCCAATAATAAAAGTTAAGAAACATAACTGATTAAGGCAAAGTCAAGTTGAAACCCAATATATTTCGATTTAAAATTCAAAACAAAAAATCATCTTCATCAACGTTGTATTAATTTATGTTGCCAACAACAATACTACTATATTTTTATAAAATTTTTACAAAAATTTAAAAATTCGTAACACCAACACATCATATTATCATCAACGAGTTCCATGAATTAGTCTATTTTGAGTACGAATATGGTTAAGGAATTAAAATTAAAAAAATAGTATTTTTTTATTTTATAATTATTTTTTGTAAGATATCGTTACCTTTTATAGTTAATGATATCTTACTAAGTACTTCATAGTGATTTACATGAATTGAACATTCAAATGTTGTGGGAAAAGAAAAGAAAGGGATTCGAATGGCATTAAAAAGTGGGAAGTAATTATAGTTTGTATTGCACTCCGCTAGACAAATTCATGTTTGATTTATCGATTACTTGTAAAAATACAAAGCATTTTACATAAATATAAATTGTAATATGAATGTACGAGGTGGTTTAGTTTTATGACACACTTTATGTACATAAATAAATCCTCCACACTCCAAATCATTAAATGGATAATTATGAGATAATAAGATCAAATGCTTACTTTTGTAAGATATGTACATTTTCTTATTTAAGAATTGAACAATCTATTTATTTCAAATTTTTTAAATTAAAAAATTTAACAATATAATATTTAAAAAAATTCTTAATCTATTTAGAAAAATTCAAATAAATTTTTTGTATTTAATTAAATTTTTATATTTTTATTTTATATGGGTTAAGTAATTATTATTTGTTAACGTCACTTGTCATTTTTATCGTAAAAATTTATTTAATTCAAAGTAAAAATAAAAAAAATCAAATTCAACTATTAAAAGAATAAAAAATTATTTAAAATTTTTAAATAATTTAACAAATTTTTTAAATATTATATTAATTTTAATTTATCAAATTATTATATATTTATATATCAAAAATATAATTTTAAATTTTAAATTACACCATTTCGATCGTTTGACGTTTAAAATTTATTAGATATTATGATTGGATTGTTCATCAAAGATTTTTAAATTTTATTATAAAAATAATATCAAACAAAATACAAAATTTCAATTCCAATAAAATTAATTTCAATCACAAAAATATATGAAATTTAAATGTAACGATCAATAAATCAAGAAAAATAGAAAAAAAAAGAAAAAAACTTAAAACTCAAACTATCTGACTTAGGTAGCTTCTAGCTAACGTCACTGTACAGTACTTGAAGACAAGGCTTCCCAACCAACTGCATCTCTCCTTCTTCCCAAACAGAAACCCAAACGTTGTTGACCCACATCCCACGTGTCATCCTCTCAAAGCGAGTACTATCATTTCCCTCCAATCCAAAAAATAAAATAAATTAAAAATAAATAAAATGCTCCATATTTTTCTCTGTCAAATCTTTTTAACTTTCGATCCCAGAGGAAAAAAAAAAAAAATTTAACTCCCAGAGAAAATAGAGGAAAGGAAATGTATTTGTTCTTCAAAAAACCCCGACTCGGATAAAAACAAACAGAATGGAACTCACCGATTCGAACGATTCAAAGCCCGAGACTCGTTCACCTCTCGGCATCGATCTAAACGAGATCCCTTCTTCTTCTTTTAACGAAACCCTACCTGACTCTGACTCAGCCGAACCCGATTCGTTTTCCATCGTTCGGGCTATCCACGAGAATCCAGACCCGGCCCTAGGTGAACCCGCTGGGGTTCCGGTAGGGAAAGAAGAGGAGCCGTGTGGCGCATGTGGGACGGCGGCTGCGGCGGGAGGAGGACTAGTGGTGGTTTGTGACGGCTGTGAGCGAGGGTTTCATCTCGCATGCGCTGGGATTTCCGGAAGGTTGTCTGCGGCAGAGGAGTGGGTGTGTGGAGAGTGCGACAGCCGCGGCGTAAGGAGTAAGCGGTGGCCGCTTGGGTTGAAGGCAAAGAAGCGGATTCTTGATATCAATGCTTCGCCGCCGAGTGATGGTGACGGTGACGGTGAGGAGGTGCAGGAGTTATTGAGGTAAAAATTAAAGCTTAGTATTAGTATTTGTGAATTTAGCTTATTTATTTTTTAATTTAGGTTTAAGTTATTAGTTTGAAGCGTTAAATTGTAAGCTTGCATTAATGCGAACCGCTTAGTTATGAGTGCATAAATTTGAAATGTGGTTATTTTGGTTGTCAAAAACTATATTCTTTGATTCCTTTCTAGTGCTTTTTTTATAGCTTAAAAAGATAAAAATTTGTTTAATTTGAAGCTGGGGTAAGTTTGTGAGGACTGTGTTCAAGCAAATAACAGCTAACTGATGGAATATAAGTGTGTGACATGGAATGGGGGTTAGTCCAAGTGTATTGTATGTTGAGAGGTGCTTATTAGTGTTTGGGGTGTAATGTATATGGAAGCTGTTAGATATTGTCAGGATGTTCAAGTAGGGTCTAGCTCATGACTCCTCGTAGGGACTTTAGTTGTACTCTAGCATATTGAAACTTTTTAAAGGGAAAACTAACTGTCTTTTCAAGCTGATCAAGTCAATATAATTGAAGTGGTCATTTGGGTGTTATAGATTGTATTAGGTATGAGATTTATTCTGAAGCTTTTGGTTGCTTTTTAACATTTACTTGATGTTCAATGTGTATGAAAGAATATACCTATTTCTTGTTATAAATTTGTCCTATAA